GAAAGAAGACTGGTATTTGATTTACGCGGATTATTATTTACGCAATTAACCATACATCTCTAATGAAAGGTTAATTGCATCAACACAATCTTGAAATTTATGTCAGAAATAACCTTTCATTAAAAGATGTATTTAAGCTTTCATTAAAAGATGTAAGGTTAATTGCATCAACAAAATCTTGAAATTTATGTCAGAACTAATGGCTCGTTCATCACAAAGAATGCTGTGGAGACTGTCTGCAATCAGATAACAAGTTAGTAGTTATCTCATTTCACTCCATACCATCAAGGACACTATATAATGTCCATTGTTTTGTTATCAAAGTTGAATGTGCAATACTAGAAATATATGTATGTGCCCTCTCAAGCACGATTGCAATTAACATTTTTACATATAACATAACATAACATAACATAACATCATATGACAATATGTAACAGATCTGAATGATGCGGTCCCGGTGATTAAACAAGTTGAAATAAAAACATCTGGTGGACTCTTCTGATATTTTCAGCAGAGCAAACAGTTCGTGATTTCAAGCGAGCATTTCAAGCACCGTCTGCAAACATGTTATATATATCACAGCGCAAATACCGACATAATGGAGAAGCTGCAACAGGAGCCTGTTGTGATAAATGATGATGCGTCGTGGACTGAAGGCGGATATCAAATCACAACTCCAGGTAAACAATGAAGAACAATACCAGTCCAGAAAAGATTTAGAACAAGAAACAGCCATGCCTTCAAGTACCAGTCTTAACCTAGTATTGAGGTGTTCCAAAACTCATTCTTTCCTAGAACTATCGCAGAGTGGAACTCGCTGTCACCAAGTACAGTAGGGGCATTATCATTAGATATTTTAGAGCTAGTTGTTCAAAGGTGTAACAAGTCGTTCGGTGGAATTTACAGCTGCCGCCGCGCCGCGTGCCTGCGAAGCTGGTGTGTTACGCCAAAGGGCGGTTATACCGGCTATACAGATACAGATACAGACAGAAGAATCTGTTATTGATTTGGTCATCTGCACTGCCATTAAAGAGATTACATCAATCGCTGCAGGAGTTAATGGATATCAATCTAACATACAAACCGTGACGCCGTGGGTTTCAACACTAACACTAACACTAACACTGCCTTTTTCACGTTCTCAGCGCGGATCTGAAAATCCACTTAGGAAGGAGTCACCCACGCTAAACATTCTAACGTGTCTCATTTTATTTATTTGTTTAAATCTTCAAAACATCTGGGTACCCCCTAGAAGAAGTTCTTGATTTTCAAGTGCGCACAGAAGAGACAAAACATAGCAGAATTTTTGGAACATGACCTACGTGACACATAGGTCCCCGAGGTCTACTGGTATGTAAAGCCATCCGGAAGGCTTGTCGGAAGAGGACCCGGTCATAACATCCTGCTTAAGAACTCTCACCGTACATGATGACAACAGTTCAATTCTGTAGGGTAATACAGTCAACACAGACTCAACACTATCCCCAAACGGTGACTTTTGGATAATAAAAAGCCGGTATTGCATTTCTATTCCAGTAATGTTAACCTTTGTTCGGTACGAAATATATTCACGGGCTGGCCGGGTGAACCCATATCAGAAGAATCAGAAACAGTTAGCTAATATAAGGACATGGCAAACCATCTTACGACAAGCAAAACCATCATCTGGCCCCCAAGAAAAAATATACACAGGAAATGCGATTCCTGTAATTCTGCGTAAGAATACAAGTTATACTCAGATGTATAGGCTTTTGTTTGGACAGTAAAGGTATAGCTTTTAAGAACTGCAAAGATTTGAAACGTTTCATAATGCATTCTTGCTGTGCTGAGGTTGTATGGTAATGTTTCTGCTCAACCTTTGGAAGGCAAGACACAAGCAGGTCGACATGAACCCAACTCTGTAGGTAAGTATGTATGAAATCAGCCCACCTGGCACTGTTCACCGACCGGCAGCCCAGGGTCTTGATGGGGTAGACCACGGCCAGGAACCGGTCCACACTGGTCACGGTCAGGGTCAGGATGCTGGCCAGCAGGGTCAGGATGTCCAGACTCACGATCACCCGGCAACCAAACTCTCCGTAAATCTGACAACACACATGGACATACAGATTCTTTACTGACTCGACAAAAGTATGGTCTACAACACAATGTATAACTAAGATTGAACAAAGCTAAATACATGTATTTAGGATAAAGTCATCCTACTTACAAAGTATATGTATGTGGCGTATACGTACGTACAGAATATATGTCAGCTATGGCAACATTAGATGTACATGTATAACTGTTTTTAACATGCTGTCACTAAGATTTAAACATTCTTTAATACACTTCCCTATTTGCACACTGTATAGGTTAAATACATAAACCAGTCTATCAATCAATCTGCCAAGCTATCACGGTTCTTTATTCCGCTACACTGTTAGCTAGACATTTACAATCTCCTGAATCAAATAAAAGTTGGAAAGTAGAGACCGTGAATGCCACGGTATTTAGATACTTCGCCGGTTCCGGACTACAAGTTTAGGGTTTGAATCCGGGTCAGGATACTCCTGAACCTTTGTCGTCCTTTTGATAAGAGAGTTTCGGCTTTTCGAAAGGAACGACGGGTGCCTAGCAGAGATGGCGTCCATCAAAGCCAAGTGTATAGTTTAGTGTACCCTTAATCTCAACTACTGTGTGGTCTTTACTATTCTTGCTTGGTGGTCCAGCCATCAACGGCAGGTGAGCGATTGCTAGCTCATATATCAGACGCCATAACAAAGCTCCATGCTCAATCTTAGATAGCTCTTGGGCACTGGTAGTGGTGGTTTATTTATCTCCATCACAATTTCTCAGATTCGCAGTGCCCACGCACAAGTAGATGTCAACCGAAAGAATGAAAAGTGATTTTGTGAGTGCTGACGGGACCTAGACTTGACTCACCCACTTGGGCTGCATCAGGAAGGAGCTGAGATAGAAAGGCCCGCCGAGGAGGTAGGCGAGGTCTGCGGCGGACAGGCTCAGCACGTAGGTCCGCATGGTGTTGTTAGGCTGTCCGCGGAGCGCGATCCACAGGATCGTTACCAGGTTGCCCGTCACCCCGACCGCGAACACCGTGCCGAGGACGATCGACAGGCCCACGCGGAACGACTCCGAGAACTCGACCGCTTCCAGCTGCAGCGGCCCGTCGGTGTCGTTCAGCCAGGTGAAGTTGTCAGGTGAGCTACCGTTCGTCTCCATCTTCGCTTCTAGAACAGCTACCGAGGATGCCGACACCTTCCCTCTTCAGCGGCTACTGACAAGGAAACAGAAATACAGCTGGCTTGCTGAGACCTTCTTGTCCAGCCCAGCACCAGCAAAAAGGTTATGTCGGTAAGAAACGGGTCTAACGAACGTCTACAAAACTCGGCGGCTTGTTACTTCCAGCCGCGTCTCACGAGACCACGCCCGGTGCCGCGCCATGAGCCAATAGGCTGGCTGACAGCGCGGATTGGAGCCGGTGTGCCGGTAGTTAACATGCAGGGCACGGCCGTAATGCTGACGCGCTCACAGAGACACACCGTGCTCGACGTCCGCACAGAGATAACTTTATTGCTCCAAAAGTGGCCACCTGGGCAGGATACGCTCTGGAAGATTGTATGCGTTATCTCGGATTAGACTAACGGCACGAACTCGTGATTCTTTCATCTGAAATATACAGTTTGATAGAAAGCATGCAGGCTTAGCCTTTAACCATATCACGATCTGTATTGTTCTAATGGTAAAACCGCCTTTTGGGGCTAACGCATCAACTTCGCAGGTATGCACTTGTTATCTTACATCGAGAAACATGTCCTTCATATCAGTGTAATACAATTCTTACTCTAACCATCGACTGAAAAAAAAAATCCAAAAGATCCTCCTCTCTATTTGATAAAAGTTCTACTGTGCACTCATGTTAGGGAAGAATAACTTTCTTGAAATGTTGATGAATGATTGATATGACAAGAATATAAGACATCTCTGCGCCGAAGTAACACTAGTTAGTGTTGATGAGGTCTTCAAGCTTATTTGCAATTTTATAAATTATAGTCACAACATATGTGTTCTTCTTTTCTCTGCTAACTATGACTCTTAATGAGTTATTTTGGTGCCAACATAGTCTTTTCTGCATGTACACGATGTTAACGTTACAAACGTTTGCTTCAGATTTCATTATAATTTTTGTCATCAACGTTTCTTATTTTTATCGATACAGGTTACATGTACCTTGTCTTTTTGCAGTATCCGTACTAATCCGGCTTAAGAACAATTAATTATTTTAAAAGCTTAAAAGCTTTTGCTCAGAACATGATCCTTCTCATTTTCAAATGATCCAAATCCTTTCTGGACCGAAAGCTTGTTAGCTCGTAAGCACTTAACTTTTGCATACAGATAAAGTGCGAGCGTCTTAAACCCTCGTCGTGTCACTTGCCGACACAGATAAACTTTCTTTCGACTAAAGTTTGTTGCTTTCATGAATGTTTCAGATCTGTACTGACCTCTAAAAGCGCTCTTGGTGCCGCTACGTGATAAATGTGAAAAGGCAGGAGGTCGTTAAGTTTGCCTGAGTTACGGGCAGCTCTTAAAGACCTTATAAAAACGTGCCGCGGGGATTCAGGCATGGATCAGTGCGGAGTTCAGTAGCATTTTTACCTGGATCCGCTGAAGTATTTACAGCTTTATCTACGGCACATGGACCATAAAATCATATACTGCTCCTTGCAAATTGGTGGCGAAACGTTGTCAGTACCGGTGTTAGGAGGACTACTATATCCGTATCCGATACGCGTCGACGTGGGTGGAATAGATGTATATAGAAAACTTCACCTTTATCTTCAACACGACAACATACAGCAATTCAATTTAAAAGAGGGCAATTCAATTTGTAGATACTCAAAGGAGCACGGTCAATCAATCGATTGACATAGCAAGCATATAACGTTATTTTGGCAAGGGATTCTATGAAATGAGAACATTACTTCGAACTGTGTCCTTTGGGTTGTCGCCTTTTGTCCACACGCACTACCGCGGGTGCGCTAATCAACTCCCGTAGTGAAAAAACCCTACCAGGGAGCCTAGTTGAGCTGGGCGGTAGGGAACTACTACAGGCCCGAAGAGAGCCCGTACAAACCGAGGTAGACTCGACACCAGGCTATTGGGGTTGTTGATGACCAGCGCTAGCGTTCTGTGGATTTTACCACTGCGAGCTAGATGTCACAGGGTTTTGCTGTACTGACGACATAGACATGCAGTACAGGCTACTGGCGTAGGAGCCAGTATCTAATAGGGAATGACTTACTTGTATCACACACATGACAGGCATGTCTCTCTCCTAATGCACCTCGGGCTTAGTAAGGATTGCTGTAAACGAGATGGCCAACAGTGCCTTACGCGGTGTTAGCCATACTTCAAAGAGACAGTCATCCAGGTAGCGACATATCACATGAAGACGCCACCTTTGTCATGCACGTTGGCATGGTTTTAGTCTAGATAGCCCGTGCCTTTTACGCGGTGTTAGCCATACTTCAAAGAGACAATCATCCAGGTAGCGACATATCAGCCGAAGACGACTCCTTCGAATTCGTCATGCACGCTGGGTTTAATAAGGATTGCCTGCTCTGATTGAAGTACTTAGTCTACTTAGTCTAGATAGCCATCGGGGTCACGTAAGTTCATTCACGAACAGGGTACGATTAAGACGGTTTGAGTAGGGGGCTCAGACCTAAATTCTATACTTCTTCCCTGCTAGTTTAGCAAGCTAAGTATTTTTTTATTCCAACATGCCAACCACGCCCAATCACTACTACTTAATATGTACTTATGCAATAAAGTTATCCATAAAAATTGGACCGTGATGAAATGAGCATGGAACTTACGGTACTTACATTAGGACTTGTAGCATGAGTAAGGGGTGAAGTCTGCCATCTCTGACGAAATAGTAGTTGTATCGCTTTCAGGGCCAGAATATAAAGTGTGTTTCTCAGGAGTAAAAGATTCTAAAAAATAAAAAGATGATGAAAATGGTATGTACAGGGTCAGGTGCTTATTGGCTCGTGACGTGAATGAAGTCTTAACGAAGCCCAGGTTAGTACGATTCCATAGGCTGTTATCATGATCAGTTTAATTCGCCCCGTTGTTTTGGTTTTCAGTGCGGTAATAGGGCACCAAGGGAAATCTACTACTCCACCTACACACATACAAACCACCAGATCTAATGCTAACTTCGCCTGGGTGTTTTCGAAGAATATAGCCAAATATGGCCGTCGGTCCTGCACGCCAATGTTGTGTATTAGGCCACACTGACTTAATTTTATGGATGGCATCCTCTGAAGACCCCCAAACTAGTACGAATAAAAAAGAAATTCCAGCCAAAAAGATGCTGCAGTGCTAAACCAGTACAGGAATACAAAACTAGTGTTGTGAATTTGCGGTGTTACATAGCGACTTTTAAGTTACTAAAAATTACGACAAGCCGCCACATGCTGGGCTTTTGCGGCATTTATGAGTCGGCACTGTATACGTACTGAGTTCTTGAGGAGCTTTGGTAGCCTGGATGCCATCCAGGTCAGAGTCTCGATCGGAGGAAGTGATTTTGTTAGAACAGGCAAAAATCAATGCATCAATGCCCGCGCGGATGTCATCCATGAAATTAAATCAGTGTGGCCTAATGGCGGGAGACGTAAGTGGCGGAAGACGCCGTGTGCCATGACAGTAAACAGTACAGGAATTGCAGGATTTGCTTCTTGCTTGGAACCTGGGAGTGTGTAAATTAAATTACATGCATGTTGTCTATGGGAATCTTATTTGAATGCATGGCTTCATCTCATATAGGTCAACTGAAGTGTTTGCAATCGATACATCCGTCTAAGTGCACTTCTCTACAACACAGACAAATCCACATTGCTTATGCATTCAGAGAAGTTCTAGTAATAACTTTATCCGTAAGTTACATATTTAAAAGGTACATATTCTCCCGTGCTAAGGAAGGAAGTCAAACGTGGACTGTAACTTACCTCGAAATTACGAATATAGAGCTCGTATGTATTCAATTGATGAATATTTCTGGATGACCTGTATTCTCAGTCTGTTTGGTTTCAAAGATACTTGCCCATAATCCAAACATCAAACGGACCTATTTGAGTGGAGACTGACAATATTTTTTCTAAAGCTCTTCCTAAAGAGCGAGCAGTAAAGGGAGGCTTTCTATACATTAATTACTTACCTATTTGTAACATAAAGGGCCCCTTTTATAGCTCCTGGATCTGACGCTACTCAGGTAACAGTCCATGCATCGCGGAAGATGTGGTAATGATGCTAATATCCTGCAGAGCGGTAACGGGGCTTTATGTACATATTACCGCACAGTTGACAAACAACATCAAGTGTTCTCAATATAGCTGTTGTACGTAGTGCACGTTTCTGATGTCCTCACTATTGCAGCTAATACATCGCGGAAGACGTCATAATGATGTCATCAGTGCCACTTTTTTTAGCTTCCTCATCCATTTATCCGTTAAAAGAAATCCTGATAAATAAAAAGCCTAAAACATCTCGCCTTTTGATACTCTCCAAGCAGATGTTTGGGTTATTTTTGGCGTGTTTTTAGACTTTTTATTTATCAGGGTTTCTTTTTTCACCAGAATTTTTTTTCACTCTTGGCCGTCTTGGGTTGGGTAAAAAAAAAGTATTAAAAGAATTAAAAGTAATAAACGCGCGAAGGACAAAATAAAAGACTCCGAAGAAGGTTGTAGTATCAACCCCTTTACAGGCTGTGTCCCCTGCGTAGACAAAACTTTTTTATGACACAAGCTCTCCGTCGAATCCCGATCGCGATTTACCTGGGATTTACCTTGAGCAGATCTCGCAGTAACGAAGCCCTGCATTGACACGTTTCGTGTGTTTCTGACGTAAATCACGACCTAATTAGGTTGAGGGGCAAGACTGCCAGGCTCAGTCTCGAATTGTATTATATATCATCTATCAATATATCATATCTGATGTTAAATTTCGGTTCGGTATCTTGTAATTTGTATTTTGTACAATCCCGACTGCCGAGCTAGCCTGGGTACATTACAGACGGCGAGTTAATTACAGGAGGTTTAAATCACTGACATTAAGACAAACATATTATACTTAAACATCTCCAAAAATAACCTACTAATGCCAATTGTAAACGGATAATTGGTCATAATTCTGGGCCATGCGGAGAGACCATATTTGGGCATACCGTAGCTCGCGTGTGCCGTTCTTTGTACCGACTGT